CCCCAAAACCCCAAAACCCCAAAACCCCACGGGGAAGATAAGGGAAGACTATTAGTTTTTTAGATAATAAGCAAATAAGATAGCGATATACAATAATTTAATATGATCAAATTACATAAAGTCTTTTGAAATTTAAATGCTCAATCCCTTAATAAGTTCTCATAAAAATCTATTTCCTCCTATTCTTTCCTTTTCTTTTCTTATCTTCTTTCGTATTCTTTTCTCGCTTGCTAATTCGCTTTTTCTTCTCTCTCTTGCTAACTCTCTTCTTCTCTTCTCACTTGATGTCCCTCTTTTTCTCTCTCTTGTTATTTCTTTATTTCTCTTATCTCTTTTTCTCTACGAATTTCATATAATCTTCTTTTTCTTCTTATCTCATTTATGTGATTTCTTACTACTCTGTTTGTTTATCTTTTCCAATCTATATCTTCTTTAAGAATTTCAATTTATTTCTCTCTATTTTTTTTATCTATTGTTTTATTCTTTTTCAATTTTTTAATCTCTTTTCTTAAATATCCTAGAGATTAATAACTGTCCAATCTAAAAACTTCCAACAATTCACCGTTTACTTGCCCCATTTCTCTCGTATACTATTCTCTATTTGCAAAATGATAAACCTCGAAAGTATCAATCAAATCAACAAAAGCATTAGTAATATACATCCTTGATTCTACTTATTTATGCTAATTTAATTTAAATTCGAATATTTCGACTTCATAAACTTTTTACTCTTTTGTACATATTTTTGTTTTAGTTTTATCAAGCTTTTTCTCTTTATCTTAAGGTTTATACTCTGTTTCAAAATATTTTTTAGCATTTTATTGGTTCTAATTCAAATTTTAAGTGGATTCCTACTCTCTCGGACAAACAATAACAGTATTAATATCTTATCCTGCTTTTAGAGCTTCAACGCTCTTGTGTCTTGCACTTTTATAATTAGAAGCTAAATGCTTAGATCTAAAATTAGTACATGGCTTAGCTGCAGCTCTAATCAAAACAACGCAACTTATCTATTCAGGGTTATTTTTCTTTCTAATAAATCTCATTTACTTAGAATCAATAAAACCATCTGAGTTATTTTTGATTTGTTCTTTTGTTCTAACACCACATACAGTTTGAATTTACGCATTATTAGGGATCTCTGAAAATTTAATTTCTTCCTCGTCCTCGGATAACTATAGTTTTAAATTAACCTCTTCATCACTATACTCGCCTTCCAAATCACTTTCTTCATAAAAACTATCGCTACTTTCTGATTAATCATCATAATCAATCAATCCATTTTCAGCGAAGCTACAAGTACTGTAAATTTCATCTTTTGCAGCTTCCCATACTTTTAGTTTCTCTTCTACGCCTTTTATTTCTATATCTTTTATATTTTCAAGCTTTTAAATTTAATCAATAGTTTGATTTATTGAGCCCCAAGTAAATGCTATATCTGCTACTGAAAAAACAACACCCATTACTGGTATAACTTTTGAAGCAGATATTCCTGCTAATTTCCCACCTGTTGCTCCAACGTTTACTGTACTAGAAGATAAAAATGTAACTCTTCCTACATTTTATACAGCTTAGCCAGTCGAAATAACTGATAAGGAACTGAGCCTAGTAGCCTATGTCAAACTACTCAATTTTCCTAAATTCGAAAGAGAGGTACCACCTCTTAAGACAACATTACCTACTTGTACTCCCCCCTAAATAGCATTAGCTGCTTATACTCCTCCTTAAGCGACATTAGCTACTTAGGCTCCCTTTTAAACAATGTTAGCCAATTATGCTCCCTCTTGTACTATACTAGCAACTTGAAAGCCTTTTCCGACTTGGATACCTTTTCCTGCAAAAACAGCAACATTTCCGGCTTTTTAGAATGCATTTAATGCTTATAATCCACATCCACCTACGTTTAAACCTCCTTTTATTAAAAACTAGCATGCTTTTTGTATTGAATTAGATAAAATTTCCTAAGTATGTTCAATCAGTTCTTCCACTTTTTGACTTTCTCTTTTGTCGTCTTGAAGTATTTTCTCAATTTGCTGTTTGTAATAGGATTCAAATTTATCTTTTGCTACTTGAGATCCAACGGAAGTTGAACATCCAAAAATGACCATTCCGATTCCAACCGCAAACGCTGGAGTAAACATGAGAGCAGTTCCTGCGATAGAGGTGACATTTCCAACAGTATTTGAAACATTACATTGTGTAACATAATCTGAAAGTGCACCATGTAATTCTTTAGCTTATCTTTTTACCATTCTTTTAATACCAAGCACTAATTATAAAGGATTTGGAAAGCACATTCCATTTTGGGCTTTGATGGAGTAGAA